GCACTTTGTTTCCTATCCTGCCAAAGGCTGTCCCTCTCACCTCTGTTTTAACTGGAAAAGGATTTCCACCCCATGGCTGAATTAATGGTTTTTGAACTGAATCAGCACATTTGAAGTTAAAACAGATCCCCACTGAGTCTGTACATTTTTATTACTGTGCAAGGAGTGCTTAGGAAAATAAAAGGAACAAGAAAGCCCTGAGAGTGGACCACCCCGTTGAGGGGGGAAATATAGAAATCAAGCATGTTTATGTGAGTGATATTTATAGGGTCAAGTGACATATATAGTACGAGGCCTTGGAGCCCATCTCAGGAATACCACATACCAGTCTGGGCACTCACACTCAAGAAAATTTAATTGAAATTGAAGCAGGTGCAGAGGAGTCTACCAAGCTGGAGTAGGAAATGGAAAGATAAAGTGGAAAGGAGACACAAGAAAAAATGGCTTGTTTAGGCCACCAAAGGAAAGATGAAAAAATGATCAGGATCTGAGAACTGCCTATAAATGCACCAGGGGAGGGAAAGAAATCAACAAGTTAAATCAAAGGATCATTTTCCCAGAATAAATTAGTGTAAACTAGCTATGAATACATTTTATCTGGGAATTAGGGTTTTTCCTATCTATTGAACAGAGAAGAGCTGAAGAAGCCTTCTGCTTGGGTTAGCATGGGCAAGTGAAGAGATATATTTGAAGATGGAGGTTGATAAACTTACTGGGATGTTGGAGAGCAAATTTTATTACAGGATGGAGGAGTATGGCTCAGTATCCCTAGGGCTCCTTTCCTGACCTATACTCCTACGGATGGATTGCTTTTATAATCTGAAATCCTCTTTTGCCTTTCCTTTGCTAAGGACATCAGCACCTTTAAAATCTCCTGCCATTGTCACCCAAGAGCGCTGGGCTACATCTGCAAAGCTCCTAGCCCCACAGAGCTGCTGTTGCTCCCAAATTCATCAAGGGGGTCACTGTCAAACAATGAGACACATTTAACTCCCACCGGGTTTGAATGAGCTGCTTCCTTTCAAAACACCCTTTAATTGACAGCTAGAAATAGCTTTCCATGATGACAAGCTGTCATTAATATCATTCACCAGAATGATACCCCAGTGATAGTCTATGAGTTTAGAGGAAAAGGGAGAGAGAAATCCTCTGCAAACAAATGTTTCAACAGAATACATGAACTGAGCTGTGGTTTCAAGAATGACAACATGAATATAAAAATGTACGTTGTGAATATTAGTATTCCCTTAAATATGTGCTCATGTTGGTTAATGAGTCCCACCGGTGGCGTTAGTAACTGAAGGATTTGGGTTGGCACGTTATTAACTTGTTAAGTAGAAAACAGTGATACAAAACTACTTGTCATGTGTATTATAAGACATTTAAAAGTTGCACTCAGCATAAGCAGCTGAACAGAACTAAAGGAGTCGCCTTTGAAATGAGCTGATGTTTCTTTGTGCCACAATCATGTAAAATCCCATTGCTTCAAAAGGAGCTGTGCTCCATGGGCCCTGGAAAAGGAGGTACTGGAAGTGGGGTTTGAGGAGTGGCTGGGGCAGTTGGCAGGACTCTTCTTCCTCCTCTGTGCTAAACAGGCAGTGACCTGATACTTCATCCTGGGCTGGGATGAGCTCATCCCTTTATTCACTCAGAGCTGCCACACTGGGTCAGGGGGCTTTATTCTGTGTTTTCTGCCTTCCCCTGCCCCACCAGTTTGCTGCCCTCTCATAAAGCTCTGTCCCTCTGTCAGCCCAGTGGTGGCTGCACATCTGTGCTGAATGAAATGGTGCTTTGTTAAGAAGCTGTTGGGCGTGTAAAGCAAATAAAATTGACAGGTAACTGTAGACCAGGTTGCTGCATCTGCTGGCAGCAGAGGGATCCAGCCATAGGAGAGAGGGGCACAGCTGGAAGCTTTGAGCTGACCTTTCCACCCAGGGTTTGAAAATAGTCCTTCATGTAAATCAGGACAGACCAGACACTGCCCTAGCATGGACCCTATTTCCTCTGGGCTGCTTCTAGCCATCCAAAAACCTCTAAAGTAGGGCAAGCAATTAAGATACCAGAGCAGCTCCTGAAACACGTTCACTTGCTCTTGGACAGACAGAGGGATGGTTCTGTTGGTCCTGAGGCAATGGGGTAGCAGGACTGTCATGGGCTGTGCTACCTGGAATAAATAAGGTGACCCTGATGAGCAACTATCAGCCCTTTTGGCCACTTTTCCCCCATCTGCACAACCCAGTTCCTCAGCATTCCTTGCTCAAGGCTCCATGGCAATTGTTCACCTTTACATTTACTAGCTCTGCTACTGACAGAGTCCCCTGGGGAGGGGAGCTGTTCCAGTGATGATGCTACAGGGGCCATGTGCATTGATGGGCAAGCCACAGGATATCTATTGATCACCCTCATTCATTTTTCCAGAAGGCTGGAGTGAGCCAGATTAATCTGTAGGTGACATTTTCAGTGGCCTGCAGTGTTCATTTGAGGCACGCACACCCACATAAGACAGGCTCAGATATGAACAATACAGGAACAGTGACAATATTTCATAAAACACGGCTCTCTTCAAACTGTTCTGAGTACCTTCTTCAACAGCTGATAGCTGTGCCAGAAAAAAGGCCCTCTTTGAAAATGCAGTTGCCAAAGGGAATCTCACTGTTGTCCTGCAGTCTTTGGAGGACAACTTGTACGGATCTCACAAGGGTCACTGAGGCTGGCAGAAGCCAAGTTGTGGCCTCAGGTTGTTGCAGAAAACTCAGCTGGGAAAAGAGGTTCCCCCCCAGAAAACCTGGGAAGGATGAAATCTCCTGCCTGCTGTGCTCCTTGGCAAACCCATGAAACAGCACGAGGCTTGGCTGACGAAAAAAGGACATGCACACATCCATGAGCCATTCATTGTTTGTCTAGACTGAGGAATTATTTTTTACTGCTAGATGCAGAGGTCAGCAGTGGAAAGGCCTCCTTTATTTCATCCTCCTAGAAACACAGGCAGGGTGTGAGCCCTAAATTTCAAGCCTTGGGCTTGCAGTGTAATTCAAGCATGTCTCAGCCAGTTTCCATCCCAGGTAAGGAGGAGTAGGGACAGATTGCTCAAAGAATGCCACAGTACAAAGGCCTTCAATTCACTCTCCTGGGCTCCTAGCAAACCATACATCAGTCACCAAAGACTTGACAAATCACAGCGATACAGCTAAGCTTAGAAGTAAAATTTCACATTATCCTTGCTTATGTGGGTGGGAGGCTGAGAGATGCCAAATCTAAGAGGGCTTAAAGGAACTCTTTCTATTATTAAATGGTTTGCTGTTGGTATTTTTATAGTTCTGACATGCTACTTTCACGATTCAGGCTCCCAAGTTCAAGGCCTCATACAAACAGAGCAAAAGGATAAATCCAGTCCGAAGAGCTGGGAACTCAGTTAAAGGCAGGAGCATCAGGCAAATTCAGTCAGGCAGCTGTGGAAGTGTGGGCAGCCCATCCTGAGTGGAGCATCAGTGATCTCTGCACTCCAGTGCTTACCTTTGTCTAGTATTTTAAGGCATTGAGCCAGAGAAAGATTTGAAGAGGGCAGCAAGATGATAGAGAGGTAGGACTGCTCAGGGCAAGGATGAGTGAGGTTACCTCTAGGATCCTTCACAGTCCTATTTGTGCGAGTCTGTGCTCTGAGTTTGCTCACCGCACGCGTGGCGGGTATCAGGGATGAGCCAAGGAGCTGCTGTATTGAAATGTGGAGCTGTGAGTTAATGTGGGAGCAAGGAAGGAAGCGGAGCAGGAATAGAACACTTGACACTGCAGCTGAGCTTTCCAAGAGTTACGGATGTGTCAAGTAGGTTAAAGACTGGGTATCATTGCAGGCAAGATCATGGAATCATTAGGGTTGGGAGGGACCTCTGGAGATCATCCAGTCCGACCACTGTGCCAAGGCAGGATCACCTAGAGCAGGTTACACAGGAACGCTTCCAGGTGGGTTTGGAGTGTCTCCAGAGAGGGAGAATCCATGACCTGCCTGGACAGCCTGTTCCAGTGCTCCTTGCCATGCTCCCCATGCAGCTGGCAGGGGTGGGAGGCACACAGGCTGCCTCAGAACCCTTGGAGTGTGACATCCATCAAGGTGTGAGGTGTGAATGTCCTGGCTGTGGGCACCAGTCACGTGCGTGGGGACGAGGTGCCACAGCTCGGGGGTGTCTAGCAGAGACCGGGCAAGGCCCAGACACAGGTTTAGGATCAGAGAGCTGCGTGAACATCAACGGATGGAGCCATCAGGGGTTGGGGGAGGCAACTCGGGGGCACGGCAGGATGGCCCTTTGGGACACATGGTAAGCGGTACCCCCGGGGAGACAGGAGGCGGCGGGCCAGTGCGGAGGGCACGAA